CTGACTTTGCTCTGTTCCCCTCTCTCTGGAGAACAACACAGAACACAAAGGGAAAGCTTTTCCCCCAATTTTAAAAAATTCTAGTCTTCCCATTGGTTCTTTTGGTCAGGTGCCCACTCCCTTTTCTTTACCCGGGGGACTTTTTAACCCCTTACAAGTAAAGCAAGTAGTCACCAAGAGGGACTTTATAGCTAACTGGCTGGCTGGGTGTCCATAAAAGGGAGCTATCCCTCCCCCCTCTTCATTTATCACACACACACCCAAATCACAGATGGTGCTGGCCAGCCTGGTTCAGGTTGGGTCCACACCAGCTGGGATTTCTTCCTGGAGGTTTAGGAAACAGAGTTAATAAGATACATGCACCTTTAATGTTACTAATAATTACATGAAGAACTAAACAGTACTTTTTACATTTCAAGGACTACAATGACTTAGAATGCAGGGACATTTTTACCCAGCTGATTTTGGGAAACCTTCCCTGGAGTGTGCATCAGCCACTTTGTTAGAGGCTCTTGAAATGTATTGTATTTCAAAATCAAAGTCTTGAAGAGCTAAACTCCACCAAAGAAGTTTTTTGTTAGTTTCTTTGACTGAGTGAAGCCACTTCAGTGCAGTAGGTCAGTCTGCAAGTGAAAATACCATCCCCAAGTGTATGGGCGTAGCTTCTCCAGAGCATACACAATGGTGTAACATTCTTTTTCTGAGACTGACCAGTGGCTTTCCCTCTCGGAAAGTTTTTTGCTGAGGAACACGACAGGATGGAATTGTTGATCTGGTCCTTTCTGCATTAAAACTGCTCCTACACCACGCTTGGACACATCTGTGGTTACGACAAACGGTTGGTCGAAGTCCGAGGCCTTTAGTACAGGGTCAGACGTAAGGGCCGCCTTAAACTGGTTAAAGGCTTTCTGACACTTCTCAGTCCACTGAACTGCATTTGGCTGTTTTTTCCTGGTTAGGTCTATCAGTGGGGTGGCAATTAGGCTGTAGTGTGGTACAAATCATCGGTAATACCCACCCAAGCCCAAGAAGGATTGGACCTGCTTCTTAGACTTAGGGACAGGCCAATTTTGGATAGCATTTACCTTAGACTGCAGGGGGTTGATAGTACCTTGACCCACCTGATGTCCAAGGTACGTTACCCTGTTTAGGCCTATTTGACACTTTTTGGCCTTAACGGTTAATCCTGCCTCCCTTATGCGCTGGAAGACAGCTTGGAGGTGTTCCAGGTGTTCTACCCATGAATCTGAGAAAATAGCCACATCGTCAAGGTAGGTGACTGCAAATTCCCCAAATCCAGCCAGAACGTTATCTACCAGTCTCTGGAAGGTGGCAGGTGCATTTCGCAGTCCAAAAGGGAGCACATTAAATTCATACAACCCTACATGGGTGATGAAGGCTGACGTTTCCTTGGCTCGGTCATCTACCAGCACTTGCCAGTACCCCTTAGCTACCCACCCCCCCCATTTATCAGAGCCTGTGTAGCAGATTGAGACATGTCTTAATGACTTTTCAAAGGAACAACAAAAAAATAGATGATTTAACGGAATTATTTTTTTTTTAACTAAAGATGGAGTAGAACTGTACTCAATAATCTGGCGATATTTTGGGGTAGTCTTTTAAGACAGGGATGATGATACTGATCTCCTTGGTAAAGCTCTTTGAGATGTACTATTGAAAAGGTTTATACAAGTGTTAGGTATTACAATATTGATTTTGTATGGTGGGGATGAGGAAGAGGCTATAAACTAGGCTCTACTCAACAATACAGACTGTTAAGCTTCCTTTGACATCAATCCAATACAAAGATAACCAATCATTGGATTTGGAAATATTCTTGCTCATCAATGCTACCCCTTGTGGATTAGGAAAAAAATCTTAGATTGTAAACTCCTTGGAGCAGTGACCTTGTCTACCTCTCTTTTAAAAGCAACTAGCACAACAGGGCTCTAATCTGAATTGTGGCCACTGGCTATTGCCATAACATAAATATTTAATAATAAACCATTGTTCAATTCAGGTGCAACACAGTTGAATTGAATACACTGGATGGTAGAGGAGCAGAAATAGGCCATTGTCCAGTGAGTACTGCAGTAACCTGATGCAATAGCTCTGAGATTTCCTTCTCTTGCTCTCTTTCCCCTCTCTGGGCAGACAGAGTATGTCTCTACTCCAGCAATCCCTCCCGTGGCAAGAACCAGGGGCATCTCTGTTCTGAGCCCAGTAGGAAAAAGCATACTCGCTTAGGATCTTCTTTTTCCAGAGCCAATTATAATGTTCCTCAGACTCCCTGCTTTTTCTCTTCATTGTATGCTTTAACCTGATACTAAGGCCATCATTCACTATTTGAGGAACTTCACAGGGACCTACCAAAGCCAGCCAATTAGAGAACAGGGATGGCAAATGCAATGTAATGCATGTTAAATGGAACAATTTGAACTAGTAATACATGTTGATTGAACTTAACTATAAACTCTGAGGAAAAGGACCTGGGTGTCATTGTGGACGGTTCATAGTGCATGACAAGCGCAAAGCAAATAATGTTAGATTATGTTAAGAAAGGGGTAAAGAACCATACTGGAAATACTATACTGCTATATAAACCAATTTAATACTCTCACTTTGAATACTCTGTTCACTTTTGATCACCCCATCTTGAAAAAAGTATAATAGAAATAGGTCTAGAGCGGGAAACAAAAGTTAGAACAGATGTAGAAAAAATTCTGTCCGAGAAGAGATTTTTGTAGATTCAAGGCCTTATTGTAGTGCTTGACTCTGCAAAACAATCCCAGAAAAGTTAAGAAGGCTTCAGCTCATCTACAGGGCCTCCTAGTTTGTATGTAATGATGGCAGAAATTCTGTGAAGGTAATGGTACACAGCACCCATCGTGTTAGTGACACACTGGTTCCTCTGGCTCCATGCTTGGACAGGGAGTCGTCAGTTTTGCCATCTCCCTGAATCTTTCAACTTGCATTCAGACCAGCAATCAATCCCTTTGTCTCCTTGCAGCTGCCGAATCCTCCCAGTTTCCAGGTGCCGTCCATCTGAAAATCTGATAGCATTCTAACAGTTAATTTAAACACAAATAGCAATTACCAGAGTAATTAGTAATTTAATTGTGGGGAAAATTAGAGGGAAAATGTGAAGGTGAATAGATTAAAGTTTCTATTTTGATTATATTTGGAAGCTTGCGCACCATGAAAGTTCCCTTTTTAATGCTGATTTTTCCTGCTTTCGAATAAAAAAAAAAGTATATTAATTGCTTTTATCAAACTGCTGTATACAAACAATTGCGACATTTTCCTTTCCTTTTCAGTTTTTAGAACAGTTGCCACTAGATGGCAGTACAACAGCTATTTTTTTGCTGAAAGTTATAAAATAAATCTTTTAAAAATACTAGAATTCAGGCATAACCATAAATCTTCAGCAGTATAAAATAATCCTGTAGAAAAGAATACAAAATTATAGAAGAGTTTGGGATGCACATCTCTTGATATTTCATAATTGTCTTTAGACTTTATTGCATTTCTATTGCTTGTTTATTATCTCTTATATACAGTACATCGAACTGGGCATATTTTTAATTCCAGGACCAGTGAACCAGTTAATTAAAGACATCCAACAAAGCATATATAAATATTTGGATTGGAGTTCTGAAAGCAGTAATTAACAAACTGCTTCATTCTTTTTAGTTGAGAATTTTAGATGAGGTTCTCTGTTCAAAAAATAAATAAAGTAGATCAAAGACTCCCAGTACCATTGAGGTCATAGGACTTGGGTCTCAATTTGCCTTCCAAATACGTATTTTGAAGAAGTGTCTTCTTCAAGTACCTTCTTATTCAGTGTCTGCTAATCCTGATTTGCTCAGTCACAATAACCTAGCTTTCATACACATTTCCATATGATTAATCATGTTGAATTTGTATATTGTTTAGGTAGCTATAACATGTAAGGTCCTGATTCAACATGCACCTGAAATGAACCATTGAGGTGGAATATGGCAACTGTCTAGTAGTATATTCCATTAGAATATAACAGTTGACAATTGGAAATTCAGAAAACTATATTCAACTGAAATGCTGTAATTTTTTTGATAAGTAGAATAATAATGTAGTTGTGATAGGATGAACAGCCCTGCTCTTATGAAAAGTGCTGAGGGATGTTCAAGTGGGTGATACCTTGATTTGTCAAAAAGCCAGCATACCTCGCAGCACAGTGCCTTACTAACATGCTGGGGTGTTGGTTTGGTACTAACTCAGAAGGAAGAGTGCCACCTACAGAATCATCAATGGCACTTCCTGCAGTCATTGTTCTGTGCTTTTGTAAAAATTCATTCGATTTCAACTTACAGCAAATATAATACCAACTATTTGTATTTTTTTATATAATGTTTTTGAAATTTGGTGTAAAGCATTTAGTAGTGAAAGTATTAACAAGTAAATGTCAACATTAAACCATAAATGCTGCCATTAACTCCCTAGTGAGATAGCTAAAATAAAATAGGGCCAGATCCTCAAGTACATCCAAAATACTTTAGGCATAATTGAGGGATTGGTGTGAAACTCTAGTGTAAAATTCCCTTTGCCACCATACTGACTCTGATGTTGCTCTGTGCACTTCTTTCCTTGTGCACAGTGTTAGAACGGTCTGAGGGATACTTGAAGTTACACCAGCCTGGAATGGCATCCAGGGGCCTAAAAGCTAGCTCAGAATCCGTGTAGTATGGAGCCATCTTGCTACACTAGCACTAACAAGAGCATGTGACATCTGAATCCTTGTTTTCCCTGTCAGCCAGTGCAGCATCACCCCTACTCTAGAATGCTCTTCACCCCAGCAACTCTCACTTGACTTTTGTGCCCCAAGTATACTGGTGGTGTGGTTCAAAGTAGCCACAATCCATCTGAGGATCTGGCCCACAATCTAGGTATAACATCAACGATATCAGACACTAAAACGTGTTTTATTCTGTTGTTTCTTCCTCGTTATTGATTTCATCAAGAGTTTGCTGTGCCATCTCCTTTCTTCTTCTTCTGAATGGGGAGCTAACGAAGCTGGTACTGGTACCTTTATTTCTGCTCTTGGCTACACGTCTGCAGATTACTATTCTAAACTGATTAAAAATGTGAGTAATTTGTGTAATGGAGGTTCTATTAGTAATAAATCACCAGTCTGTAAGAATGTATATGAAAATGTCATTGCTATAAGAAACATGAACTGAATGACTGTTATCTTTTTGTACCTTGGTTACTCTTACAGCCTTTTAAGGAAGAAAGATAAAATGGGAGATGACGAGACAAAAAAGGGAGGCTTATACCAAAGTGTATGGGTTTTAAAAAAAAAAAAAAATCCTTGTTGTTCATGTATCACTGAAATGAATATTAGCTAAGACATATTTTGTAACATGAAATTTAATAAATAAGGAAAATATTTTATGTGGCATATGTTTGCCAGAAAGTAACTTTTTGAATTATATTTTCTTTTTGACTGTGCACACTGTATTTACAATGCTAGTTGAACCCTATATTTTGGGGAAATGAGTGATTTTTCATTTACCCTGTAAAATCATGGGGATGATATTTCATAGAATGAAGATTTACTACTTATTTTGGAATTTTTACCCATTGTAATGCTTTTTTAAAAGTTACTTTTCTCTTAACTCTTGGGATGCAGATCTCTAATATTTCACTTATTTGCTAATTGTGTAATGGGATTAATGATGGGTGATTAACAATTTTAGTACCTGTAATTGTCTTGAACACTTTGATTTGGCACTGGAGAGGGGGAAAAAAGGGAGGGGGAAGTCTACAGAGAAGGCTACTTACCACAATTGAAAAGTGTCTCACACCAAAAAATACAACTGATGTCATCCTATTTGCAGTGTGTGTGTGTATCTCTCTCTCTCTCTCGGTATCTCTCTCTCTCTCTTGTGTATATATATAATGTATGTGTTTTTAATGTAATTGATTTTGTTTAACAGATAGTCTTATCATTAGTGACAGAACTCAAAGGAAATCAGTTTAATGGACTTAATGTTCAAGGGAGGTAGGTGTTATCTAAACTTCATTTCAATAAGTCTTAGTATGGATCATTGAAGTTCTGTGAGGTCCTTCTTCAAATTTTTTGAAACAAGCATTTAGACTTAAAAATATATTTAGAATCATGGTAATATTTAGAATTACCATATAGCTTCGGTAATGGACAAGTCTGTTAAGTGGAATGTCACAGAAAACCTTTTACTTACCAGATAATCACAGCCTTGGGGTATAGGGTAACATGTCTGCAGTGCTGTTACATGCCCCTCTTAACCAATTATGTATTTCCATTCCTTGTTCATCATATCAGTGAACAGTGCAGGTATTATTGTATGCTTATTATGTAATGTCAGAAGGGCAGATGTCACCACTAGTGCACAGTTAGCAAGAGTCCAAATTTGTAGTCCTTACTCATGCTGAGAAGTCCTGACTCTCACAGTAGTTCCATTGAGATTATTACCCATGAGAGTAACTACTACTCAACACAAGTAGAACCACTGTTTAAATACATGGAATAGGGTGATAGAGGTGCTGTTTGAGGTGACTGAGCAGCAGTCTTTCTTTGGTAAAAAGAACAATTATATTTGCTTAGTTCTTGCTTTCCTCACCACTTTGAATGTATACCTGGTACTGTGGGCTTTTTGAAATGAAGACCATAACGTTTTAAAAAACATTTAAAAAAACTATTTTCAGAATACACCCACAGAGCCTTTGATTACATCTGAATCAAAGTATATGTCAGCAAAAATGAAAGCAAAAATAAAACAGAGGGATACATACCAGATGTATTCGATTAATGTGTGGTTGTTACTTGAAAAGGCTGTGTGAAAATGGCTCCATTTTACTCAGAGGTGCACACTGTGTATATTCTGTCACAGGTGCTCACTTCAGTAACAAAATAGATTTTTACTATTTGTGCTAATACTACAGGGCTTATATAGCAGTGGGAGAGAGAGCAGGGTTATATTCCTTCTTGTGCATTGTCAGCAGAATAGTTAAGGATCTGATTGTCCAGTCCTAGAGAAACCTGCAATAGGAGACCAGGAGACAGGAGGGGAGTTGGTCATCTGCACAGAAACCCTGAGTCTTTGCATTAGTTCTGGGGCAACCTACCTGCAACCTTGGCTTTCCTGCAAAGAGCTAGACCTCCATGGACTCCCTTATCTGATTCTGACTCATGTATCTCTCACTCTCAAACACATACACTTCTCTCTCACACACACACACACACACACACACACACACACACTTCTCTCTCATGCACGCACGCATACACTCACACTAAGGTTTGGGGAGGGATGTCCAAGGGTATGTCTACACTGCAGTTAGACTCATGTGGCTGGCCTGTGCCAGCTAATTCCGGCTTGTGGGGCTCTGGTTTAGGGGTTGTTTAATTGAGGTGTAGATGTTCAGAATCTGGGACCCTTCCACCTCACAGAGTCCTAGAGCCCAGGCTTCAGCCTGAGCCTGAGTGTCTACACTTATTTCCATATTCATTTTTAAGCTGGAGATATTAAATCAGAAATGTAGGAAACTTTGAAAATATATCACGTAGCATTTCTCCACTGTAGAAATCAGAAGGACTCTCCATGTCAACAAATCACAATACGTTCAGTTCTTATTGCTGAGCAGGAGCATTGTAAATAACTAGTTTTCATGAATCTCCTCCTCAATTAGTCTGTTAGAAATTATATTGATTTTATCCATCATTACCCCGTTTCCAGGAGTCTTCTGAAGGATGTCTCATCAAAAAAAAGGGTCACATTTGCAAAATATAACTTGTTAAATTTTACCTCTGAAGTTCATATGCATGGGTACCAACAAGTAATTTTGTACATAAACTGGGAAATACCTACTTTTGCATATGTAATTCCTTATTTTGGCTGCACAGTTAGCACCCTCACGCATATGTGAAGAAGTCAATCTTTTTAAAATTTGGCTTTAAATATTAAATTATCCTCCACCTTAATACTATTTAGATTGCACCATCATTAATCTTTTCCAAAAGTGCAATCTTGTTAGGCAGGGTCAATAGCTATGCAATGCTATGCTATACTGTACTATGCATCCCTTCAGTTGTAGATCTTTAAGACAAATCCTCACTTTTATGCCTGAGCACTTGAAGGTAGCAGGATTTATACTATGGTGTGTACTGGAGTAATTCCTGCTGGAATGAGAAAAGCCAAGGAAACCGTAGGGATCAAAGCCAGCTTGGTTGTCTCCTGTGAGAACCTAAGATACCGATGTGGGAACTGTGAAACTGTAATCTTCCTCTGAGGGACTGCTTTGCTCTTTATCAAACCGGGAAAGGCAAACTATTAATTGCTAGCAGGACATACATAGTTATTGAACACTGCCAACACTTTAGAATTGTTTGAGGTCCCTACTGCAGTGCCATAGTCCTCAGTGCCAACATACAGAAATTCTGATTGTTTTAAGAATCTCCATTTGAGAATACTTCAGCATTTGCTACAATAAATAAATGTTTTCTTAACTTTAGAAATTAAGACTTTTGAGTGTTTTCTTTCCCTAAAATAAGAAACTTTTTTCATTTCTCCAGAGTTTCAGATAATCATGTAAATGTAGTGTCCCTTTTCTGCGTCCCTCTTATCACTTTGCCTGATGTAACTCCTCTACTGGAAGCGCTCCTTACCTATCATGGAGGTGGATCGCAAGAGGTTCTCAGCTCAGAGTTTTTAGAAGCTGTGAATGAGACATTTTTAAAGTAAGTAACATAGAATATACAGATTATTACTCCTCACCAAAGAGAATATTAACTGTGTTCAGTTGGAATTACTATTTGGTGAACTTGCATGCTGGATGCATTGAATGTCTACTGTATTGTAACAAAATATTTTCTTTTTACCTGAATAGCAGACCTGAAGTTGAGGGAAAACAAGGATTCTAGATTTCTGATGTGTTATTTCAGTTTTACTTTCCCTATGTCTATGATGTTAGACAGCATCACTGTAATTGTTTTTGGATTTTGCCTTTCATTGAGATTTTGTACCTCTTTGCCATAAATATACTAGATCTTTCCTAACTTCTGCTATTAGAGATCCAGATTTAATATTGTGTCCTTGCATACCAAAACATACCGGTTATATTCTTGTCTTTGTGTTGCCTGACAGTTCTCATATTTCTATTGAGAACTTGGTTCTCCACGTTTTCAAGTCTTGTATCTCCCAGCAGATTATTTTTAACTAGGCACTTGAATACAATTAATGATATGTAGATTTGCTTATACCTCTGCCATCAAGGTGGTCCAGTGTTAGGATGAGATTAGCTCATAGATGAAGAGCAGGTGATTGAAGCTGAACCTGAGCAAGACAGAGGTGATGGTGAACAGAGAAAAAGCGCTATGGGAAGTTTGTAGCCACAATGCTTCCTTTGGTTGAAGGTACATGCCCATAATTGCTCAATTCAATCCATAGTCTAGGAATGCTTTTGAATTTAATGAAGAGGCTAAGCTCTCACATAGCAGTGTCCATGAGTAGCTTTCTGTCATCTCTGGTTAGCAAGGAAACTCCATCCCATTCCATCTTGGCAGATAATGATTTGGTTTCAATTATACAGGCATTTGTCACCTTCCAGCTGGAATATAGCAATGATGAATACACCTGGGCATGAAGCTATCAGCCCTTAGGAAACTCCAACTAATACAGCACTGTGGGCTCCTGCAAGCATATCAGACCTGTCCTCTGCTCTTTATGCTAGCTTCACTTTCTTCTAAAATTGTATAAGTATGTATATGTGGATTGATAATTTTGCATTGATATGCAATTCTTTTAAATATTTATTCACTTCATGGCTCAGTTTGTAGAAAACAATATTTTCCCATTAACTCAGGAAGAAGATTGCCCTTTCTGAATCAGCTATCCTAAGCTTGTGGCTTCGTCATCTGCCTAGCCTTGAAAAAGCAACACTGCATCTTTTTGGAAGGTTGATTTCCACTCAAACAAGTTCACTGGAAGAGGTAGCGTGTATCATAAGAGAGTCATTACTGGTATGTACCACAATTAATACATTACATATTTTATGCTGAAGGATCGCCAAATACTTCTCTCATATACAGCATCACTGAAATTCAGCAACCTCTATGGGGGAGAGTAGCTGTCAGCTGGTGTGTAGCTTAATAACAGTAGTGGAAAGAGGAGAAATTTTTGTGCAGAACACCATGGCAAATACCTACTCTAATAAAATACGTTAAAATTAAAAACCTCACAGAACATGATGTCTTGGCATCAAAAGCTTCATCCATAGACCATCAGGAGATAAACAGAAATGGGGCCTGATTGTCAGAGGTGCTGAGCACTATAATCATTTTAGATTTTTTTTTAGAAATATTCTATTATATAGTGCACCAATTCCATCCAATGTATTTAGAAATTGATAATGATTTGTGACCTGGTCACTTGACATGATTAAAGGCTTCCACTAACAAAGAAATAGTAACAGAACCCATTTATGAAAGCAATACATTTCAGGATGTATAGGTATGTCATATGCACATATCTTGCATTATGAAAGTGAACCTGAGGCATGGACACTTTGAAATGTGGCATATATGATACACCTGGAGGTGTGCTCTCATGTGTCTTTTAATATTTTAAAATTCTTCTCTCTTCTTAGAGTATTTTTACATGTCCATTCCACTGTAGGTGTGTGTGCACCCACATGCACAGTGTCGATCTTTTTCCCTCAGTGGTGCCCGTTGGGGCAGCTTGAGCATGCTCTGCCCTTGCGCGCCTTCTGCACCCCAAACCCCTGCCCTGAGCCCCCTTGTACACCATGCGCCCCAACCCCCTGCCCTGAGCCCCTTCCTGCACATCCCGCACTCCCTCTCGCACCTCTACCCCCTGCCCCAGCCCTACATTCATGGCCCTGCATGCAATTTCTCCACCCAGATGTGGCCCTCGGGCCAAAAAGTTTGCCCACCATTGAGCTAGAGTATTGGCCCATTTCACTAGAGCGCATGCAGCATCAGCAGCTTTCCAAGTGCAACTACCTATTCTGGACAACTTGGTCATCATTGCACATGTTAGCTTCTCATTATGCTATAGCCAAGCAGTCCAGGACCCATGCCACTGTTGTACGTGTTGTTCTCCAATCTGTTCCTGTAGACTCCGAGCCCACATCCAGTAGAATGGACATGTGCAATCAGTCAAAGAAGAAGAAACTGCCTACCTCTCTCTAATGGTTGTTCTTTGAGATGTTTTGCACGTGTTCATTCCATGACCCACTCTCCTTCCCCTCTCTATCCAAATCTGTCCCGGTAAGAGGAACTGAGATGGATTGGGGTGGTTCTTCCCTCTTATGCCTGCACAGAGTGGCATGCAATGGCAGAGGGCACTCAAACTGCCCTAATGGGTACTGCTGAGGGGGAAAAGATCTTTGACAGCTGTGCATGGGGCGCCCACACACACCTACAGGGAAATGGACATGTGCAATACATCTCAAAGGTACAGAAAGGTAGGTAACTATTTCTTATTCATTGCCTCTGTAGATCCCCATTGTAGGTGTTGTGTACCATGCTGACAAGCTACATAACTGCTAGCATTGATGCTGCTTATGCATCAATCAGTGATCTGAACATTTCAGAACTCAAGATTACAAAAGGTTCTGTGCCTGTATACATTCTCATCTCTCTCTTTTCCACCTGTAAAGTGGTCACAGGATTATCTCTCTCCCATAATCTATATAATACAACTGTCTTATCCATCTATCCATCCCTCTACATTTCTAAAGCCATCATTCACCATAATATATAGGTGCTATACATAGCTTACAGAAAACATTGGATCAGTATAGAAAGAAAGTAAAATCTCTGTCTTAATCTTGGGTATATTATTATTTATTTATTTAATATTTATATTACATTCACACCCAGAGCCCCCCAGCAGGATTGGGACCATATTGTGCTGGGCACATTCCTATTGCACATACTTGAAAATTCAGCCCCTGCCCCCAAAAATTTGCACTCTAAGAAGACAAATGACACACACAGATAAACAAGAGAAGAAGATGAGGGCATTCTGTGTAAAGGGGTAGTGTGGATGAAGGCACAAAGATGAGAATTTGACAAATAGGCAGACAAGCCTTGCTTTGTTGGTAGGAGGCAATGCATTAAGAGTATGCAAGAGGGATATGAGGGTATAGTTGAGAGGGTGATGACAGGAAGCTTGATCTTCTTGCAGTGAAGCATGGTAGCAGGAGCTGGTAGGGTGGATGATGTGCTCAGAGCAATGATCAGTCAGTCTAATAATTCCCTTATTACATGCTATTTTAAAAGCTATTTAGAATACAGTAAGTAGAAACTTTGGATCTACCAGTGTGATGAATATATCCTGTCTAAAATATATTTAGAACATTTATTTAGAGGTACGTGAATATGTGTTTTGTTTGTTTGATTGATTATGACATTTCCAGGATGTGACCTCTATGTGCCTTATGGTTTACGATAATTACAATACAAAATGACGAGCCAAAAATTACTGATTGATTTAGACTCTTTTTCCTATTTGCAATAAAAACAATACAGTACGAAAAAAGGAACCAGAAAAAAATTGGTTATGTGAATAAGCTGCTTCAGAACTGCATCATCTGAGTCATTTATCACAATGAATTATCTCAGCACTGTCATAAGTGTAGGTAAATATCTTAGGGCAAGTCTACACTACAGCACATCATCAGCACAGCTGCACACCGATGCAGCTGCACTGCTGTAGCGCATCTGGTGAAGACGCACTATGCTGACGGGAGAGCACTCCCCCATCGGCATAATTACTCCACCTCGGCGAAAAGTGGAAGCTATGTCAGCAGGAGATCATTTCCTGCTGACATAGCGCCGGTGTGGACAGTGTGAAACTTGCGTTGCTCATGGTGGGTTTTTTTTTCACACCCCTGAGCAATGAAAGTTAGATCAACTTAAGCGGTAGTGGAGACCTGCCCTTTGAGAACTGCAGGGCCCAGATAGAAGACTGCTGTGCTTTAGTATGAAAGAAACTTGATATCCAATACTGTTATATTTGGATTCCAACTGTAATTAGAGTGTGATGGTCTAGTAACTTGTATTTTATATGGTGTGTGGTTAATTATGTTTACATCTCTTGGCAGAAACTGGAATTAGTATTGGAAATTCTGTAGTTACTAGGAAGTAATAAAAACAAAAGATCAGCATTATACACATTGCATATAGCGAAATAATCTTCATGAATATTCTTTGGCCTCTCAGGAATTGGGAGGTCTTGCATTTTTGAGGGTTGAAGTGTACATAAGTGTATAATATATATGTGTGTATGTATATATGTGTTTGTAATATCTATGTGGTGGTGTATTAAACTAAATTCTTAATTTGCAAATTAGAAATTTTTTTTTAGATACCTTCCTTTACAGATACATTTCAGGCTTTTTGTACAGTCCTCACTACATGCACGTATAGGCAAATCAGGGCCAATAGTAATGTCTGTGTAGATTTTAGTTAGTACTTTTGGAAGCAGATGTAGTTGTGCTCCTTTGAAAGGTAGGGCACAAGAAAACCTTAATCCTTGGCTTTAGTTTCTGACCCTTAAAACATATGTCGTTCTTGACATTGTAAGCCATTTTGTAAGTATGCAGTTCTTCTGGCATCATCAACTTTCCCAAGTCTGGCCCAGAATCAAAACTACGTTATGCTTTCCAGCTGAAATTCAGGTTGTGGACCCTCAAATGCTATTGTTTTTGATTCAGCACTGCAGAGTGAAAAGTGCCACTTATTAGGTGGGGTGGTGACACACTGTTATGCTGCCATACAGGATACTAAGGTTTGGGGTGGTACCCTGGTTCCTATGCCCCTACATTGCCCCCCTGCTTTGACTGATCCACACAGTTATCTTCTAGCTGGATCCAGAGTCATCTTTCACAGCTAGACCTGCCAGTGAAAGAGGCAGAGAACAGGGAGAAAGATGGGGGAGGTGTAAGAGAGAAATTGGGAGAGGCAAGACAATTTTTGTTTTAAATTGAATTTCCTTGCAGGGTATCCCAGCTAAGTAAAGTTCAACAGATACAATTAATTTCCTTAACAGTGTATTTTATAAAAGAATCCATCCTCAAAAGGCTATATCCTGGAGTTGAAACACTGGGAATTGTGTGGATTAATTTTACTTGTGCTCTTGGTGAATTCCTCATGCTCTTCACTACAAGAATTCTATAAAAGAAATTAAATGGTATTCCTTTTTTAATAGCTGTTGAAAATAAAATCGCAGTTTGCTATCTCCTAGTTAGGAGTCTTTTAAGCATGTGAGTAGATCCTACCTTTTTGAACTCACCAAGTACTTGTGACTAAAAGTCAGCTAATCTTAAAGCTCTTAAAATAGGTTTGTATACATAGAATAAAGATGCATTTGGTACTCGTTAAAGTTAAACCAAAAATTCAGGAGTGACATGTTTATCACTAATTAAGCAATATTTTTGTATAGTGCTAGTAAAAAAATAAAACTTGGAAATACAAACAATCTGGTAAAGTACAGAAGTGTAATAGTTTCTTAAAGTTAGAGTTATTTAGCCATAGAGCAGCTGGATCCAATGAATAGGACATTAGACTGGGAGTCAAGAGGACTTTAGTTCTGTTCCCATTTCTTCCATTCACATGCTATGTGATTTTGGGCAAGTCACTTAACTTCTGTACTTCAGTTTCTTCATCTGTATATACTTTTTGAGGATAATACTTGTTTATGTAAAGCACATTAAGATATATTGATTAATAAAACACATAACAGATATATGTTTGTTACTTATACATACATTAACACGTGTATATGTATAAGCACATATGCATGTTTTCTCCTTTATTTCTCTATGTATTTGTTTTTGTCTTTATTGTTAAAATAAATCAATGTTTTTTCTTATTCCTATTATCAATCATGAATCAGAAAAATTCATAATAGAAAAAGTAGCTGAATTTTACATGATTTGTTTGTGTATGCGTGTAGCATCTCCACCATAATGTTACTTCGCAATTTTTTGCAT